TAGTCGCTGCTATTACATAGTGATTTTTGTAAAATTTTATTAAATTAAATTAAATTAAACACATCAAAATACATAAAAGATCCACTTAATCAAGTTCAGAAAAATTTTCAGCGATTTTTCACCNATTAATTTTGTAATTTAAGCTTCTTGATTCTGTATAACTTTTATATACATTTTTTTCTGTATTAAGAGTAACGAGGGAGTTATTTTACTTTTTCACACTAATGGCCCACCCTGTATATTTCTTTCCTTCCACCTTTAACCTTTCTTATGTATTTTGATACGCTGAATTCAAGTCTGAAGTATATTAGCTACACACAGATTTTGCAAAAAAAATCGCAAAAAATATCTGAAAATAGCAAAAAATCATATTAATGAGAGCGAGAAAATTTAGAGGGAGGTTTTCTAGATTAGATCAATTTTATCGAGTCGAATTTGAATCTAAAGTTTAGAAACATCAAAGAAAACCTTGTCGAGTCAGTCGAATTTATTTGAAAGTAATTCATAGCCATGACATTTATTCGAGATTTTTTTGGGATTCACGATTTCCATTTTTTTGCGATACTTTACGATTTTTCATGAGGTTCAACAGACTTTAGATTCAAATTCGGCTCTATAAAATTTATGAGAAGAACATTTATTTGATCCAATCTAGAAAACCTCTTTCTAAATTGTCCCTTTTTTGCGTTTTTTGCAAAATCTGTAGAGGGTACAGCTATTAGACCTCAAATTCGAATTCAGCGTCTCAAAATACATATAAAAACACGCATCAAGGTCTGAAAAAAAATTTTCAAATTTTTTCGCGCTCGCTAACCTGATTTTTGGCAATTTTTTGCTATTTTTGGTGGTATTTCGCTATTACTAGTCGCTGCTATTACATAGTGATTTTTGTAAAATTTTATTAAATTAAATTAAATTAAACACATCAAAATACATAAAAGATCCACTTAATCAAGTTCAGAACAAATTTTCTGCGATTTTTCACTATTTTTTGCCAATTACTTAAAATTTTGGGGGTGTTTAAGCTAAACGAACTTCAGATTCGTATTTAGCACGTCAAAATACATAAAGCCTGTTGGATCAAAGGTACATATCACTTTTTTATTTTTCTATTCATCTTTGGTAAGGCCTGTTATCCATGGCAGTCATTGCTCCATATACATCATTCTATTTTTTTCTAAATATTCCCTTCATAATTTCATAATTTCCTTTCAGCATAGGTACTTTTTAATTTTCTTTTAAGTAATGAAAATAGTTTTATGTACACTACACAGCAAAACTTTTCGGGACAATTTAATCAAACCTTCACCTTCTGCAACCGCAGTTTAAATGTTCTTTAATATTTGAAGTTCATTTTTAAAATAAAATCCGTTAATCTTCTTACAGATTGCACATTTACCCTCATTTCCTCCTATTTTAATTTTTTTCCTGCCACATGTTTCACCTTTTCTCTCACTCATGCTTATGACACTCACACACACTAACTCGCTAGCACAAACACCACTCTAACCAAAAATTTTTTGAATGTCTTTGAGAAACGACGAAGTCATCTTTGAAAAAACTGTAGTAAGGCCCCGTCAATTCCCGGACAGCTTGTTTGAAATTGAAAAAGTTACATAACATTAAAATTGACTGTCGCGCCAATATCGATATTATTCCTCTCCAACGAACAAATAAAATTATCGGCTGTCGAAAATTTGTAAATGAGATATGTATAACTTTCAATTTGTTTCCTGATTGTCGATCATTACCAAACAGCATAACAACTCAATTAGAGGGGTCAATGATCATTTCAAATTTTGACCGTTGACCTTTGCGAAATGTATAATGCACGTACGAATAAATAGATATCGCTCGCATGTCCTCAAATAAAACGGTGCCCGAGGTTGGCTTACCTACAAATATCTAATCTAATGGTGATTAGCCGCCAGTAAAAAAAATACTCTCGATTTGAAAAGGAAAGCTATCGGATCTCTATTTTTTTTTGTTGTGCAAAAATAATTGGTTCACTTTAGAGCCGGTGAAATCAACAGTAATTTATTATTATGTATTTTGAAATAATAGGACTGGTTAAGTGCAAAGAAAGTGGTGAAATCTTGAACATATTTAAATTTCGGTTGGGAAATATTGCAAAAAGCAGAGATAATATGTATAATTTAGAAATTGTATATACTAACTACTAAGTAAAGTGGTACAGAAAAATATCGTGTAAAGAGAGATAGGTATGCATTACCATCCATATATTCACGGTTTGTTTTTTTTATGAATCTCATCCTGATTTATCAAAAAGCAACCGTGAGAGCATAATTTGTCGTTATTGTCTAGCTATTTGCCAAGATCGATGATAGTACAGAAACTGCAGAAAAAAAATTAACCAAGCAACATTTTTATCGACGGTCATTCTGAATATCTCAAATTTGATCTATCATTTACACACATTATTCCAGTCGAATTAAAGTTTGAACGTGAAAAAATTATTAGTATGTATAATCAAAAATCGGGAAAATTACAATAACTAAGAAGAAAAGAACAGAAACCGTTAGAAAGTAGTGTTGTTTAGGTAATTAGCGATATAATTGCAATTTTTTTCGCCCTTTCAATACTAGTAAATTTACGGTAGATACATACTTAATTGCACATTAAATTTTTTACAAGTTCGCTTTTTGTAATAGTTACATGAATAGTGTTTGCGAAGTGCTTCACCTAACGGCCTAATTCCACTGATTAGATAAGATTTTGTCACTTAATTTAACAAAGAGTTAATTTTTGCATACCTACATGATATCCATAATTTTGTTGTTTCAATTTCATCATATTTTCACTCTTTATTAGGAAAAAAATTAGGATATGAGCAAAACACCGCCACAGTTTTCCACTAAATGCTCATACTCTGGACAAGCCATTTAATTTTTTTCATCCTCCAAAACTAGTCCTGTAAAAATGTTGTTTTTAAATCTGCTCCCGCAAAAAATTCTTAAACGCAATTTGACGCCGGATAAAAGCTTAACATGTTTTAATTATTTTATACGTAAAACATGTTTGAACAAAACCAGTACGAAAAATAATTTCGACCCTAATTCGTTGATTGCTTCTATCAAAAGTTACGGTTAGGGTTCGGGTAGCCCAGGTCTTCGCCCTTTCCATCCCCCAAAGAATTAATATAATATGAGGTCGTACGAAGGGAATGATTTCCTAGCCAGTTCCCCGAATTTTGAAGAACATAACGACGATAACGAATAATCGATTCCGATTCAGTTGCTGTTGATTAAATTTGCATGAACACCTGGTTCGGTACAGAAAAGTTGTTTTTCTGTATTTCGTGTTATTGAAAAGTAAAGTGTTTTTTCGGTGGCGCCATTAAACAAAAATGAAACTGAACAGAAACGAAACGAGGCTTGTATCCATTTTTTTGTCACAGTTATCCTAGGTTAGATATAATTCTTTTCATAAATATAGGGCGTCTCAAAATTTTAACCACATACTTAACTCATTAAAAGCAACAATTTGAAGCTTGAATTGTTGTTGTTATTTTTATATCTGATGTCTTGACTCATAAAAGAAATTATTTATTATTCATATCACTAGGTACACTATTGTTCTTTTTATATCGTCCATCGTAAAGAGGACCACGTCAATGCAACTACAAAAACAATAACAGCAAACGGTAGTAATAGCAGAAAAGTACATACAACCAATCGCAAGCGCCATAGAAAATATGCCAATTTACGGCGCCAAATTTAAAATGTTACAGTATGATTGCATTAAAAGATTGTCTTAAGGTAGTTATCACCTAAATGGAGAGTATTCGAGTTAGTTACGAAACTTTCAATACAATTAATTATGCTCATGACAGACACTTTTGCAAAATTTCAGCGCATTTTACCACATAGTTTCTGAGTTATGCTTAATCAAAGTTGACTATGTTTAGCATTATGCTTAATGGCACCGCCTCGAAAAATGTTGTTACGATGAAAACGTTGCTGTAACCCCATTGGGGAAACTGCTCAAATTTTAGGCAAGACTAATTTGTGTAGAAATAGGTTATATGTAACAATCTGGAAAGGACTGACCAGCTAGGATTAAAGATTTTAATTACTCAAACTTTTAAATTTTTTGTATAATTATTCACATAAATAAACGCGGCAACGTCGCACATCGACGAAAGGTTGGTTTGCTGCACAGGTTTGCTGTTTGCTCGCGCGCTAACATTTACAAAATTTTGAACTGAAACCTTTTTTCTTTTAATTTCCTTTTTTTCTTTAAAGGAACTGATGAATTAAATCAAACAATAAGGACGATTCTTGCAAAAAATTTTAAAAACTTGCCAAACGATTGTAGTGCATCCACTAACACTAACCTAACTTTGTGCCCCGTAAATATCAATTTTCAATATTTCCATCAATCCCCATGGAGACTACAGTCTGCATGCGTACTAGCACTAGTTTCCGTAAATATTCTTGCAATGACCTTACAAGGTAAAATTGCATAATTAAAATGGTTGCAACTTTGTTGAATTGTATTTTAAAGTTTCTCTTTAGTGGGCATGGATTTACAAAAACACGTTTTGTGAAAAATAATCCTTGGTGACACTTTCCAAGGTTTTTTACTGAGAAATACTATTTATAAACTGATCAATTCAGAATTTTTGAAGCAAAAACCAGTATTAACACGTTTCATGGTCTTATAAATAAATAAATGAAAATGAGGAACTTTAAAAAATCTGACGGTTTAAGTTTATTATCTTTTTTTCTCACTTCCAGGCTCCTTTAAAGAATAATCTTTATTTATGCCAAGTATCGGATTATTAGTAAATGCAGATTGTATCAAAAAATTCCCTGGTACCTGAGAAAGTCGTGAAGATGTCGTGAAACAAAATACGTTGACGAATATACATATAAATTTGTTTTCTTTTCCATGAAATTCACTTAAAAATCCAGAATAACTAGCGAACATGAATTACTCACTAAAATTTATTTATGAATTCTTGATTTTCTCTTCAGTACTTGGAAGATCTGAAGAACAAGAGGGCGCGCATCATCATCGCCGACGTGGTAGACGACATCGCTAGAGTGGTCATGTGTGAGGCTTACAAGTTGAAAATGACCTCCGCCCAAGGCTACGTCTGGTTCCTGCCGATATGGCTCAACACCACTTGGTATGACACCGACTACTTCAACTTGAATAAAACAGAAATCGTCAACTGCACCACCCAGGAGATGAAAGAGGTGACTGCTGAGTACAAATTTAAAAATAGACCATTATACATTTTTGACTTCCACGTTTTAATGTGTAAATGTTTTTTTTTAACAGGCCATCAGTGGTTACTTTGCGATGACTCATGCCTATTTTGCTCCCGAAGATGCCATAATGCAGGAAAATATAACTGTGGCCCAATGGAAACAAAATTATCTGAAGCGGACGCGATCCCCATCGGACTACGCAGGCTTCGCTTATGATGCTGTTTGGACCTACGCCTTGGCTCTGGATAAACTGTCGAAAACTGACCCAGAGGCTCTGTCTGATCTACATTCCGAGAACACCACAAAGTAAGTACTTTTTTGTAGCTGTCATGGCGAGATTTAACCTATAAAGTATGCCATTCTATATTATACTAAATCTCTTATCCTTTCAGTAAGCTTGTGAGACTGGTCGAAGAAACCGACTTCTACGGAGTCTCCGGCAGAATAAAATTCCGTGGGGGACCCTCCAGATTTTCCGTAATCAACATAATGCAGTGGTACGACAACTCGATTCATAACATCGGCCAGTTTTATCCCAATCTCAGCGATAACAAACCAGAAATACTCGGCGGAGAACTTAAGCTTAATACAAGCGCCGTAAGATGGTTCACGCCAGACCGAAAGGTACCAGACGACGGAACTCCCAAACCACCCGTTTGTCACGTCCAATTCTTAGCGGGATTATTCGGCGTGACTTGCGACACGGCCTGGACCATCGTCCACGTAACCGTCGCTTCTGGTATCATAATCGTTTTTATCGTAGTGTGTTACTACGTCATGAAACGAAACTACGATAAAAAGGTCCAGCAAACTAGGAAATTCATCAGGGCTCTGGGTCTTCCCTTCGATATGAACAACACCAGCGACCTGGACAAATGGGAGATTTCCAGGGAGTCCGTCGTTATAAATCGTAAACTAGGAGAAGGTGCCTTTGGTACCGTGTACGGTGGTGAAGCAAATCTCTTGGATACCGGCTGGTGCGCCGTAGCTGTGAAAACGCTGAAGCTCGGTTCGACGACCGAGGAGAAACTCGACTTCCTGTCCGAGGCGGAAGTCATGAAGCGATTCGATCACAAGAACATCATAAAACTCCTGGGAGTTTGCACCAAAGATGAACCGATCTACACCATAATGGAGTTCATGTTGTATGGAGACCTAAAGACCTACCTCCTCGCCCGTCGAAACCTCGTAAATAAAAACTCGGACGAATCGGAAGAGATCTCCCCCAAAAGACTCACTAGTATGGCCTTGGATGTGGCCCGAGGGCTAAGTTATTTGGCCGAATTGAAATACGTGCACCGGGACGTAGCGTCGAGAAACTGTCTGGTGAACGCGCAGAGGTGCGTGAAGCTCGGAGACTTCGGTATGACCAGAGCGATGTTCGACAACGACTATTACAAGTTCACTAGGAAGGGTATGTTGCCCGTGAGGTGGATGTCGCCGGAAAGCCTGGAGCTGGGCGTGTTTACGACACATTCCGACGTGTGGAGTTACGGGGTGTTGCTGTTTGAGATCATCACGTTTGGGAGTTTTCCGTTTCAGGGGAAGAACAACGCTCAGGTGCTGGAGATTGTGAAGGCCGGTCATACTTTGGATATTCCCAAAGCGGTTAAGCCTCAGTTGTAAGTTGTAAAAGTTTTCTTGTAACTTAATTTAATTTTTTTTTTTTTATTCATTTAGTTTGTCTAGAGCCTAAATAACACATGCGAGATAATTTTTCTTGAAGAAAAAAAAAACATAACAACTTTGCAGCGATACAATTTTGGACCATTTTTGTCATGCACAAATGAGCATAAATGTGAAAAAACTGCATTTAAGTTCTACATCATAAAATTAAAAACGACATATTTTCTTTCTTTTTTTTTAAAGAAAGTTTTCATTATGTTTGTCCATTCTCATGAAAATTCTAAATATTTTCCAATTTTCTTAAAGCACACAATATTTTTAATTCTTTATAAAAGCAATATTTAAAAAAGAAATTGTTATTAAACTGCGACGTGTCGCTCAAATCACGCAAAATTTGAGAAACTTCAGAAAAAAGTTTTCCTTTTGTATTTCCAAAGTGTATGGTTGAACACAAAATTTTTTTGGGGCATATACATTCACAAATATCCCTAAGTGCACATTGAAAACGTTCTTGCCTTTACAACACTGTACAGGGTGATGCATGAAATAGTGACAGTAAAATAAATTAAAAATTTTTTTTATTACAAAAAATCGCTGCGACCTCATTTATTAATATTAAGGTCTCAAATGTACACATGTTGTAGTTGAATACTTTTACTTCAATATAAAAAATAGTCTGTAATTATTAATTTTGTCGGAACCCATTAAAATGCTTGCTCTGCCTGACACGATGCACGTAGTGGGGGGAGAAAGACTGTGACTCAGCTCTTTACGTAGGATCGACAAATACAATAGCGCGTCACAGTCTTTCTCCTCCCACCATGTGCATCATGTCGAGCAGAGCAAGCATTATGCGGTTCCCAAAAAAATTAAGTTTATTGTAAAAAAAAGGGGGGGTCAATCATTGTGTACTATTTTTTATATTAAAGTAAAAGTATTCCACTACAACATGTGTAAATTTCAGACCTTAATATTAATAAATGAGGTCGTAGCGACTTTTTGAAAAAAAATTTTTTTTCTCAGCAATTGTTTTTTGTTTAATTCATGAAAAAAATGTCAGCTTTCAAATTAGGCCAGTCATTATAGCTTTTTTCGGGAAAAAATACTATTAGAAGTTTTTTTGCGGAATATTGTTCAGAAACGTGTTATAAACAAAATATCAAAAAATCAACTCGAGACTAGTTGGGAAACTTTGTTAAAACAATGGTCAAAATTATG